TTGCAAGGCCGTGTGGATCTTCTGCTCTGCCTGTGTCTGCTCTCGCAGAATCCCACACGGCCAAACCACTCCTTAACACGGCCGTGTGAACATCAGGGCAGCCCGTGTGACCTCCTTTGTGACTTGTCTCGCGCCCGATCTTCACCCAATCGACCCCGAACTCGCTCCTAAACCTTCATTCACTTGCCAGGACCTGAAATATCACAAACAAGCACAACCTAGCGTGAAATCGGTCTAAAACACGAGAAACCACATCTCCAACGGTGTAAGAACAGGGGTGAAAACATGTGTAACTAACGGTCTATCAGCATCCTAGGGGTATCATTGAGGACTTGCTTGTTAATGTGGGTGCATTCACATATCCTGTTGACTTTGTTATTTTGGATATAAATGAGGATGTGGATGTACCTTTGATTTTGGGTAGACCGTTTCTCGCCACCGCCAAGGCGCTTATTGATGTGCATAGTGGTAAATTTATTCTACGTGCTGGTGATGAACAGGCTACTTTCTCTATGTCTGAGAATGGGAAACACTCTCATTTGCATGATGACATAGATTATTGTGATATGCTTACCGATTTTGAGACCGCACTCGCTATATCGAGTGCGGGTACTGATGATGTTCTTGAGCGTTGTATTTTGCTAGGTGAGCAGGCATCGCAGGAGCCGCAGCTGGCGGAGCAGTTGGCCGAATTGGAGAGTGGCCCCTTCTTGGAGGGCGACAGGCTGTTCAAACCGATCTCATCCTCCACCCGCATCGCTACTTCCTTGGAGGAACCACCAGAGCTGGAGCTTAAACCCCTCCCTCCTCATTTGGAGTATGCATTTCTCCGGGAGGGGAATAGGCTGCCAGTCATCATCAGCTCGACCCTCACACCCGAGCAGAAGACCAGACTGGTGACCTTGCTGAAGCGGTACGAGCGAGCTCTCGCATGGAAGATCACAGACATCCGGGGGATCAGCCCTTCTTTCTGCTCCCACCAGATACTGATGGAGGATGAGATGCGGCCAGTGAGACAGCCGCAGAGAAGACTGACACCGAACCTGGAGGCTGTGGTTCGGGCAGAGATCGTGAACCTGCTGGACGCGGGGATCATCTTCGCCATTTCCGACAGCGAGTGGGTCAGTCCCACCCAGGTGGTACCCAAAAAGGGTGGGATGACTGTGGTGCCTAACGAGAAGAATGAGCTGATCCCGATGCGCACGGTGACTGGGTACCATGTCTGCATTGATTACCGGCGTCTCAACGACACCACTCGGAAGGAGATCTTGTTCACACGGATCTTTGGGGTCCATCGTTAGTCACGTCCTCGGTTGGGTTCAGGTACTTAGCTTTGTTCATTGATCATGCCACTCGATATACTTGGGTCTATTTTTTACGCAAGAAGTCAGATTTGTTATTCATTTCTTCAGATGATTCATACTAAATTTGGGAAACAGGTGAAGATTATCAAGTCTGATCCTGGGGGTGAGTTCGTTTCGCACCCGTTTCAAAAGCTCTTTCGTGAACGCGGCATCCTGGCACAGCAGTCCTGTCCCGGTGTGTCTCAAGAGAATGGTCTAGTTGAGCGTAAACACTAGCATGTTTTGGAGTTAGTCCGGGAAATAATGTTCCACTCGCAGGTCCCCCCTCGTTTCTGGGTTGAGGCTGTTCATACAGTAGTCTATTAGATTAATAGTCAGATTACTCCTGTTCCTCAGCAACGGAGTCCATTTCAGGCTTTGTTCTCGCGCGTGCCTGACTATCAATGGTTGCGCGTCTTTGGTTGTGTTTGTTATGTTCTACTTCCAGCTCGCGAACATACCAAGCTCACTCATAAGGTGGAAAAGTGTGTGTTCGTGGGTTACAGTGACAAACATAAGGGGTATGTGTGCTATGATACCAAGCAACAGCGGATTCGTATTTCGTGTCACGTCATGTTCGTGGAACATCTATTTCATTATGGCTCTGCTTCGGTTGGTGACTCTCATGACTTGGATTTTCTTCTTCCATTCCCCTCATTTTCTGATGCCTCTTCTGGGCCTTTTGAAGGTGATGGTCCTGCCCCTAGTGATGACTCGGTGCCCTCGTCCCCGTTGCATTTGGGTTCCGGTTCAGAATACTCTCCCTCCAACTCGAGTTCCTCTAGCTCGTATGACTCCTCATCCTCGTCTTTTTCTACTGTGTCTGTGGAGTCCGCCTCGTCCTCACAGGGGTCGTCCTCATCTTCTCCGCCGCCCCAGCCTCGGCGCTCTACATGTATCACCCGCAGCCAGCTGCCTGCTCGCTATGCTGATTTTTTATCCTACTCCGCTCAGCTTGTGTTTGTCCCGACCACGTACAAACAAGCTAAGGGCTTGGGACCTTGGGAAAGGGAAATGGATGATAAAAAGGATACTCTTGACCGTGCTCATACCTGGGATTTGGTGGGTCGTCGCCCCGAGTACTCTGTGATTGGGAACAAATGGGTTTATACTCTGAAACTCCTTCCTGATGGTTCGATTGAGCGTCATAGGGAGCAGCTTGTTGCCCAATGATTCAAGCAGGCTTTTGGTATTTATTATGGTGAAACTTTTGCACCGGTGGCCAAAATGCAGACTGTTTGGAGCTTGCTCGCTGTTGCTGCTTTACGAGGATGACCATTACTGCAACTGGATGTTAAAAATGCTTTTATCCATGGCGATTTGAAGGAAACCATATACATGGAACGTCCGCCGGGCTATACTAAGGGTGATCCCTCTTAGGTTTGTCGGTTACGTCGATCCTTGTATGGTCTCAAGCAGACGCCTCGTGCCTGGTTTGAGAAATTTCAGTCTATAGTTCTTCAGGCTGGCTTGGTTCATAGTGAGAATGCTCCATTCTTGTTCTTACCAAAGCAATCAAAATTGAGATTTTGATCGTAAAATCGTAGAATTTTAAGATTTTACTTAGGGATTCATATCCAAAATTTTCTGTCAAATCGGTGGAACTTAAAATCGTTTAAAATCGGGGTTTAAATTTTTAAAATCGTAAAATCGTACCAAAATCGGGATTTAAATCGTATGAGAATAAAATGGGTGGTTTGAGCAAATTAAAAAAAAAACGGAACTGCTTCGGCGGAAAGCGTAATGATGGGCATCTTCTAAGATATTTTTTCTATTAAAAACATTTGAAAAGAAAAAAATAATCAAATTAGGGCGCGGTCAATCCCTTTCCCTTCGTCCGGTTGAACTCATCGGTAAAATAGTTTTCCTAATATTGTACGTACGTAAGAATTAACATCATTATTAACAATTAATGATTATATTTTTATCAACCACGAGCATTAATTATTCTATTGGGGTTCTTTTATTCTTAGTTTTAAATCATGTTTAGCAGACGATGTTGAAATTTACCGGCCGAAGTACTATTTTGAGTCAAAATAACTAACACAACATGAAAAACAAGAGCTAAGCCCCATGAGCTCTATCCTTTCCTCGTGAATTATTTTGAGTTATGCATTAAATAACAATTAAAATGATGATTTTGGAACATTAATCTTGAGAATTATTATTTTAAATGTTATGTGTCTGTGTGTTATTAAATGATTTACCTTATTAATATGATTATATGTTAGTTTCCATATGGAACTTAAAATCCTACGATTTTACGATTCGATTTTAGGATTCCGATTTTACCTCAGTTTTCGATTTTAGGTAAAATCCCAATTTTGAGTGCTTTGGTTCTTACGGCGTACTTCTTGTGGCCTTACTGTTGTATGTTGATGATATCGTGATTAGTGGTGATGATCAGCAGTGTATTCAGGAACTTACGGTTATCCTACGGACTTCTTTCAACTTAAAGGAGCTTGGGGATCTCTCTTACTTCCTTGGCCTCAAGGTTGATCGCCGACCAGAAGGACACCTCGTGAGTTAACGGAAATATATTGTGGATTTGTTAGAACATGCTCAGATGGATGATTGTCTTCCCTGCTCTACTCCCATGGAGCAGAATCTCAAGCTTAGCCAGTCGGATGGGAGTTGCTCTCTAATGGGTCTCACTATCGGAGCATTGTGTGTAGTCTTTTATATATGGCTTATACATGGCCGGATATAGCCTATGTTGTACCGGTGGTTATTCAGTTTATGACCGCTCCTCGCTCTCACCATCTTACTGCAGTTCACCGCACTTTGCGATATCTCAAGGGTACTCAGGACGTTGGTCTTTTCTTCCCTTCTTCTGGATCGCCTACACTGGAAGCATATCCTGATGCAGACTATGCTGGTTGTTTGGATAACCGTCAGTCTACTTCTGGCTGGTGCATCAAGCTGGGGTCTTCGTTTATTTCCTGGCGCTGCAAAAAGCAGGATCGTGTGGCCAAATCATCTACTGAGGCAGAATACCGGTCCATGTCTGAGGTTGCCTCGGAGTTTGTTTGGCTAAAACGACTTCTGGTTGATTTGGGCGTTGACTGTATGGTGCCCATGCAGCTTTTCACAGATAATACTAGTGTTATCAAGATTGCCACGAATCTGGTTCTTCGTGATTGTATAAAGCACATTGCAGTGCATGTTCATTACATTCGTTAGTTAGTTGCTGAAGGCCTCATCACTCTTACATTACCTCGGAGGATCAGACAGCCGATTTGCTGACCAAGGCAATCTCGAAGGCTCGACATTGGTTTCTGGCTCACAAATTGATGTTGCGTCAGCATCATCAATTTGAGGGAGGATGTTGATGATAGTTGTCCATGTTTAGTAATTAATCATATGTTAATGTTAATTACTAAACTATCCTTGAGACTAGGGCTAACTCGGCTGGTATATGTAGTTGAGGAATGGCCGAGTTTACATTGTAAGGAAGTTCTGGATGTATTTTGTGTGATAAAACACTATTAAGATTGACTCGAGAGACTCCCTCTCCGTGGACTAGTCTCAGCTATTCTAGCTAGGTAAACCACGTAAATCGTGTTTGTGTTCAGTCTCAATTTTCGTTGACAGAGTCTTGTATCAAAGACGAAATGATTCAGAAAAACACCCAAGCTCTACAACTCGTTGATCGACATGTTCGCCAAGTGTGGCGATGTCGATAAAGCTATCCATCTCTTCCGGAGCATGAATGAGAAAAGAACCATAATCTCAGGGACCTTAGTCATCGTCGGTCTAGCAATGCATGGTCGAGGGACCGAAGCTGTTGCTCTGTTTGAGGAGATAGTAGGAAGCGGTGTAGCACCAGATGGCGTTGTGTTCATTTCCTTACTCTCAGCTTGCACTCACTCGGGCTTGATCGAACAGGGAAGAGAGTATTTTCAATCAATGAGAGCCAGTTTTGGGATTGAAGCCAAGATTGAGCATTATGGATGCATGGTGGATATGTTATGCAGGCCAGGGCTTGTTAGAGAGGCGTTTCAGTTTGTTCAAGAGATGCCTATTGAACCTAAACCCATCATTTGGCAGACTTTGATCAACGCGTGTCGCGCCATTGGAGAGCTGAAGCTTGGAGAGGAGATCAGCGCGCAACTAATCATGAACGATCTGTTGTATGAGTCGAATTATGTGCTGCTCTCGAATATCTATGTTAGAATGTCTGATTGGGAAGAGAAGAGAAGTGTTAGGGAGGCGATGTACAGGAGTGGGTGTTGGAAATTTGGTTGAACCGGACTAACCAAGTCAAATCGATTTTGGGTTGGACCGACCAACCGGTTTGGGATTAGACCGACCGAACCAATATTCTAATTCCGTGAAGGGACACATCCCTTTGGCCTAGTGGCGGTTGCATTATTTTATGGATAAGGATAACCTTAAGGATAAAGACAACCCTTCATATAGATAAGGACAACCTTTCATATGGATAGTGGCAATCTTTCATATGGATAAAGGCAACATTTCATGAAACAATGCATGGATTCGGCCCCTATAAATATGTGTGTGGGGTGCATGATGCCACACACCATCAAACATATTCTTCTACTTTCTTCCAAAAATTTGTAAATATGCTTTAGTGTTCTTGAGCCTAGAACCTAAATTGGTGATAGTTTTATCCTCGAGAGAAATTTCCTGCAACCCAAGGCTTTGTAGAGGGTGGAAATATTCTTTTCGAAAAGTGAATTGTTCACGACTCTATCACAATCCTGGTCACCCGGTCTCGGGTTATCGTACATGTACCCTCGTCCCTGAAAGTCCCAACAGTGGGATGAAGAAGATCCCTGGAAGAAGTCAGATTGAATTGGAGAACGAGATTCATAGAGTTTTGCCCAGTTGTGATTGAGATTCCATGTATGTCCCCTCTCTTCTCCTGGAAGAAGTCAGATTGAATTGGAGAACGAGATTCATAGAGTTTTACCCAGTTGTGATTGAGATTCCATGTATGTCCCCTCTCTTCTTCTGGGTATATCAATGTAGCTTCTAATGGTTGTCAACAAGTTTGTTTAACAGAAGAAGAAACAGTTACTCTGTCCTGGCAAGGCTAATTTCGTCACATGTCAAACTGAATGCCAATATGATCATTTTGTTTGAGTAATAAGACAAAGCAGTGGAAGGTTTTTCTTTCCTCTTTCCCCATGAAAGCAGAGGTTTGAACTTTGAAGGACGACAAATCACTTGTTAATAATTGAGCCGATCATTGATGGGCTGCTTTCACTGGGGTAGTTGAGCTGCGCCATTGTCAGTTTGTCACAGCTCACAAAGTAAAGTAAATAGTCATCGAAGGATGGATGGCCAACTTGGAATAATAGTCTAATTAAGGACAAAAATGGATGACAGGATTAATCGTATATTAGTGGGAGGGCTGAAAATTTGCATGTCCCATCCCTGTTCCTATCTGATCCGTCCCTGAAGGGTCAAGATGTATAACCGTCCCGTCCCTGTCTCCTTCTTGACCCTGTCTGACCCTCAAGGGTTGGGACGGGACGGGACAGGCCGAGTCAGTGGGTCGACCCTAATCAACACACTACTTTTTTACAAATTACGTTTTGGTACCCAAAATTATTTTTTCTTACAATTTAGTACCTAAATTTTATTTTTTTTACAAATAAGTCCATAAATTTTGATGGTAAAATTACGTTTTGGTACCCAAATTTTTTTATTTTTACAAATTAGTACCTAAACTTTTAAAACTTTACAAAAAGGTCCAATGAAGTATGAGATATTTGTTGTTGTTAAGGGCCACAGGGTCAAAACGTGACCCGTCCCTAAGTTTTCCCGACCCATCCCGACCCTTGCAGGGTCAACAAATGACCCGTCCCTAATCTGTCCTTGTAGACAAACTGACTCGTCCCGACCCTTAGGGACGGGACGGGTCGGGACGGGTCAGTGGGTTTTCCGGGACAAGCTTTCACCCCTAGGATGTGGTCCGTCGCAAAGCGTGGAGTACGGGAGTACCAAACCACGAGAATGGCGGACTAAAGTAAAAGACTTTTTAGGCAAGGATTGAATTACTATAATTTTTAGTCCAATTTGGTTCGATTCAAATATCAACTACATCCCTTCTTCATTATCACATGTTATACTAACTAGATAAGTAGTGTCAACAAGAAATGAATTTTGATAATAAAGGATGAAATGAGTTGGACAAAAATTGTTAATCATGTGAAAGAATGAAAATTGAAGCCAAGACAAAAATAAAATGCATTCATGATTCATGAATGATGGTAATTATAAGTGGCAAATGGATTGGATTCCTGAATTGATAGATTTATGAATAGGGTCAAATGGATTGATGGATTGGATTCATGGATCCAAGTGACATGTAAACATTGGACCAATATGTAAATTTCGAAAATTGTAGTCATGATAAATATTTAAGATATCAACAAGTAAATTTTCAAATATCCATGAATCCAATTCCAATCCATATCCATGAATCCAATTCCAATCCATTAAACCACCAATAGGATTTGGATTAATAGGATAGTTTAGTGGATGGATTGGATTGGATTGGTGGATTGTCACCTCTAATTGTATTCTCAACTAGAAAATCTTTGCAGTTTAGCTAGGAGATCTTATTTCTTTTAACATAAACAAGCGAAATAAGTTCAGTCACAAATTTAAAAGGGCTTGCTAATTGTTCCCCTAACTTTTATGCAATCGCCCTAATTAACAAGTTCAAATTACACTTTTATCCTCATATCTTTTTTGTTTCAAAAAATATTTTATTATAATAAACAATCCAAAAAAAATTGACCGGTAGTGCGGCCACAGTACTCGTCGCCACCACTACCCGCCCGGCTGCTCCCTTCATCCACCAGCAACCCACTTTGGCCACCGATAGCAGCCCGGCCGCCCCCGTCCTCCCCATCATACCATATTTGGTATTAATATAATTAATCCACCATTCAATTTAATTTTGCTTCTCAATTTTTAAATATATAAGGGACAACGAATGGAATGATTGAGAGGACGTGATAGAAGGATCGAAGGCAGGATGGAAGAGAGGCTCTGTCGCAATGGTGGGAATGATGACAATAGTGGGGTGCGCTGCTGGAGGAGAACGATGACAAGAGGACGGAGGCGGCCGGATTGGGTTGGTTGCTTGGTTGCAGCAGAGGACGTCGGTGGCGGCAGATTTGCTGCCTTCCGGCGGGGGAGAGTTCCAACGACGAGTCGACGACAAGAGGACGAAGGCGGCGGGATTGGGGTGGTTGCAGCGGAGGAAGTTGTCGGCAGCTGATTTGTTGTGTTCCGATGCGGAGAGTTCTGTGATTTAAAAAGCGTTTTGAATTTTTTTTCTAAATTGGACTATTATGTAATTTTAACAAATAAGTTAGGGCAATATTAATAAAGTTAGGACGACGTTTAGCCATTCAGAATTTAAAAGACGGAAAATAACCACGTGATCGAAAAATCGTCGAAAATGGCTTGATTAGGACATAACATATGTTTACACTCATAACAGATTAACAGAATACATACTAGGAACAAGTTGACAAATGCTGGGAACTCAAAGGTAATTTGTGTTGGCATCTCTCCTTTTCCCATTGTTGTTGTTTTCCCAATTCTGGAAGCTGAGGTCGGCCGGCTACACTACTTGGCCAGTAAAAGATGCTTTTCGGACGGCGGCGGCTCCAACGATAGCTGCCGTTGAAGATGCTCTGAGACACCACGAGTCATCACTTAACAATATACAAGTGCGATAGGTCCAAGTCTTATTTGTTTTTACTTGTATGAAAGAAGCACTAGTGTGTTTTTTCTCCTAGTAATTAGTACAAAACAGTCGATATGAGAAAAGCAGCAAACTTGGTCATTTATGGGGGGAAAAAACACCGACACGCGTACCTAAACAAACGGACTCTTCTTCACCTCTGGGAGTCATCACCATCGCTTCTGCTGCAACAACTATATCTCCCAAGTTCTAAGATCCCAATCCAAGGCTGCAGTTTCCCCATACAACTTAACTGCACCGACACTTTGAAGTTTGAACACCAGAATTCATATTCCTTCTTCAGTTGTTTCAGCTCTTCAGGCAACAAAAGCAGTGTGTTCCCTCCCATAACACGTGATAGACCAGACCAATCATCACTTGGCTCTTTTCTTGTTATCAAAACTCATTTCCTTTTTCAGTTACTGGCACCAAACCAAACCAGCCTTTTCAGAGCCAAAGAAGGGTACGTGTTGGATAGCAAGAAACAACCCTCATGCAGGCTGCTTTCTTACAAGTTAAGTTACAATCCAAAAGGCAAACTTTAACGAGCTATGAGATATGACAATTCAACATCCCTTTCCAACAAAAAGCCTATGTGACCAAACACAGGGCCACAAGGGTACAACACTACTGATGTAAAGCTCCATATGGTGATAGCTACCAACAGCAACGAGTACCAAGGGGGTTTCTATGAGTAGGGGAGGGTGTGATGAATGTTGTCCCTATGATTCAAGTTGAAAATGTGATTCAAGCTTTAGAGGGGTTTTGATGATGCAAGACAAAACTTACCAGTTAGTGGTAGAGCTACGTTGAAGTCACGAGGGGCTATAGCCCTCCTAAACTATAAAATATAGGCCAAACTGCATGTAAAATCAGAACAAATTTAGGAAATAGAGTAGTTGGTTAAGGCTTTCGCCCTCATCCCCAAATCAGCCCTCTCATTAAGATTCCTAGCTCCGCCGCTAATACCCATGATAAATTATCCAAGAAACACACACAACAACCATTGGTCCAAAGGAAACCCCCAACTAAGTCTTAAATGGAGATCAGTGATCACAACTCACAAGCAGAGCCTTAAATGCAGATCCTGAAGAAAAACGTCCCTAACAAGGATAGACAGCTAAAAATGTACCCGCCCTAGTGAAAGGCAGCACCAGTTTCACAAGCAAAGCAATACATTATGATGCCTCAGTTTCATTCAACATTAATCATGAAGACGACCCTTCTCGGTAGCCACAGCTCAATCCATATCCAACAGGGAGTAACATTGAAAGCTTCAAAATTGATGAACCAGTGACATATTCGATCAGAGATCTCAAACACATAACCAGGAAATACTTGAAAAGAGACTGCATGTATATGAATAAATAAGTGCTAATCAAAAGATTGATACTCATTATCATCAATAGAAGTCGCCTGTCTTCCTACATTACCAAGTGCAACATTCAACGAAGAAAAAAAAAAGAAAAAATAAAGGTAATTCAAGGCTACTCCTCTGCTGCTGGAATCTCGAATAACCTCTCCATAAGAACTAAGGAGACAACTAGCACAGAAAAAAGAAGAACAACGTAAAAGTCTAGCCAAGAGAAACCGAACATTACCGAAATGAGTAAATGGGAACTGAGGTAAATGGCAGAATGCCAGGCAGCCACACCAGCTCCCTTTCTTCTTCTTCCTCTTCTCTCTCCCTCTATCAAAGGCCATGGTCAGACCAGACCTCAGAGCCCAGCCAAAACCCTAACCTTTACAGCTCCAAAATCCCCCTCGGCCTCAATCTCAGTCACCCTTTTGCTCTTATTGCCTCATTCTTCCTTCCCCCACCTCCCAATCAACTAAATTTTTTTCTTTTCTTCTCGTAGATCTTGAATACTTCATAGCAGAAACTAATCAGAAGGAGAGAAGTGAGATTATTAGTTCTGCGATTCACTTCTCTTGCCATTGCCTTCACTTTCCCTCTCTTCCAACAACCTTCCTTGCTCCTCATCATCCGCCTGTTGGGTCTTCTTCTGCGCCTCCTTAGCCTTCAATGCCTGCAACTTGGCATGGTTGTAATACGCAACGCCCAAAAATGCAAGCCCGTACCCAACCAAATTGATCGGAGTCACAGTATCCTTGATCACCGACCACGAGAAGGCAATCAACAGCCAATCCTTGACAACCCCAGCCACATTCATGGTCAACGCCGACGTCTTGCCCACGAGCAGGAAAACGGCGAGATTCAGGGCAAAAGCACAGAACGAATTGGTCCCAAACACTACGAAATCGAAATGGAAACTCGACGTCTCCCTCAAAACAGGGTACTCGACGAAGATCCAAGGGATAAAGAGGAAAACCAGGCAACAGGGGGCGACATAGTACAAAGAAGTAATCGGATTCAGAGTAATCCCTTTCGAAGTCAACAAGATCTGAATCAATACCAACCGCGTGGCCTCAAACGCGACGGCTCCCAGCTGGAGCATCACCCCCCAGACGTCGAACCTCGCCTCGCCGTACGCGGCAATCGCGACGCCCACCGAGATCGAGAGCATGTTGGCCATGGTGTCGGTCTTGAAGCTCTCCCGCTTGAGCGCGACCCCGATGGAGTAGACGGCGACCGGCATCAGGGCTTTCAGCATCTGGATGAAGGAGACGGAGAGGTAGATGTATGCGGAATTGGAGAGCCAGAGGGAGAGCGAGTAGAGCGCGCCGATGGGGACGACGGAGGAGATGTACATCTCCCGCGACATGGAGACGGGCTCGACGACCTTGAAGACCTTGATGAGGACGAAGGCGAGGGAGGCGCAGAAGGACATGTGGATCATGGTTAGCGAGATCGGGTAGGGCCAATTGTACATCTTCTTGTCGAGGATGTACTTGTTGTAGACGATGACGGTGAAGGAGAGGAAGATCCAGATTGCGACGTAGGTGTAGGAGAGGAGGATTTTTTTGAGGACGGAGTCGCTCAGAGATCCGCCTTTCCCCATTGATGCTGACGGTGGTGGTGGCCGGAGAAGGAATTCAGATCTTGATTTGGGAAGCGGAAGAGAGGAGAGGGGTTTTGGGGTGTGGGAGAGAAGAGAGGGAAGATGAAGACTAAGTGAGTGAGTTAAAAAAAAAAAGGAAGATGTTTCAGTCTCAGAGAGGATGGAGAGAAAGGGAGAGGTGGCGGTTTTTCAGTGGACTTCTACGGAGATTGTGCTACTTGGTCTTCTCCCTCGTTACTTCTTGACTGGGCTGGGCTTTTTCTTGGGTTATGTATTAAAAATAATTAGGGCTGGCATTTTGGTTTGCGGTTAGCGGGTAACCGCCGGTTTTAACCGAAAATCGACCAGTTACCTTGGCGGTCGGTGGTCGGATGGGAAAAGGAAGGGGTCAGTTGATCGAGTAACCGACGGTGATTAACCGCGGTTATCCGACTAACCGGGCCAACCGAGACCCACTTAACCTTCCCAAAATCCTGTCTAGATTCATCTCCATTCCCACATCTTGAATAAATAAAATTCCCAAATCCAGGAAGAAGAAGAAGAAGAAGCAGATCTACACTCTCACCACCGCCATAGCCAACAAGCCCTTGCCAAAGCCACCACTTGCTCCGCCGCCACGTCCTCTGCCCTTCCCACCGCCGGCACCGCCCCCAAGCCCACCTCCCTTACCTATTCCGCCACCTAGACCTCAACCTTTTCCGATCCCGCCACCTGCTCTGCCGCCAAACCCTCCAACTTTTCTGATCCCACCGCCGATTCCCCGCCCTTACCAATCCAACCACCTAAACCACCGCCGCCTCCTAACCCGTCGCCGCCGCCTAACCCTCCGCCTCCACCAGCACCTCCGCCAAACCCGCCACCTGCACCCGCTCCACATTCTCACTGCGGCGGAGGCCATCGCCGGCGTCCCGAGCCCGGCTCATTTTATGGCCTTCTGGGTAAGATGAGGGAGAGTGAGAAAGAGCAGAGAGAGGGAACGATTTGTTCTTGGTTTGTTGGTTCGCTTTCTTCTTTCAGATTGGAGGAGACATAACGAGAGAGAGAGAGAGAGAGAGAGAGAGAGAGAGAGAGGATGTCGCCGATTGAGGGAGAGGCAGAACGAGAGAGGTGAGGGAGGAGGCGATTTCGGCTTGGCGGGCGGCGGCAAGGGTTTTTCGATTTTCCTTCAAGAGGAAGAAGAGAATCGAGAGAGAGAGTAGGGAGAGAGAGAGTCTGGGAAGAAGAATCGAGAAAACGGAGGGGTTAGGTTAGGAGTGAGTGGTGCAGATTTTGTGTTGCTTTTAATTTTTAATTTTTTTTTAGAAAAGGTAGTTTTCCGATTGGCCGGCTAACCGAGCCTAAAACCGAAACCGACCGGTCGGTGGGCGGCTAATCGTGACCACTCTCACGGTCGGTGGTCGGCAGCTATAGAGGGTGGCTCGGTTTAATCGATAACCGGGTTTTCAATTTTCGGTTGAACCGAAACCGACCGACTGCCACCCCTAAAAATAATTTATAAAGCTATTTTTTCTTCATCATAAAACAAGTTATAAATAGGGCCGAGTCGAGCCAAACTTTGTCTTGTTTACTTTTGCCTCGTTAATAAACGGGTCGAGATTGAGTTCAAGTTTAGCACATTTGTAAAAGAGTTGAGCCAAACTGGCTCTTTTATTAAAACCTGCTTGACTCATCATTAAGATTAGGAGTTCAGCTCGAGCTCAACTCTACGATAATTTATAAATTAAACTTTGATATTTATCTGTCATATATGATACATGGGAGCGGTTATAGTGATTACTAGAAAATAGTAATCACCATGATTACTGGGTATGAAAAAAATATTTATTAATTATCTTTTTAATAAGTTACATTTTAGAAAGTTACAATAAAATATTAATTAAAATTTTCTCTTTTCCTTTCTCTCACTTTGTAATATTCAGCCAAAATTTTCATTCTTTTTTTTTCTCAATCTTTTTCTTGTCTCTATTAGGCCGAATTAATACCACTGCAAAAATAAAAACAAGAAATCAATAGCAATCCATTAGACAATCACTACCACTTCAATAAACACCAATACTAATCCATTAGACAATCACTTCGAAAAACACCAATATCATTATAGAAAAATAAGAAATCAATACCAAAATATAAAAGCACTACCGCTAACACAACATATACCACTTATTAACAAATATCATTGCAGATTTAACTAATACCAGTGATGAAGATCACTACCTATACAATAACATCAATACCAAAAAAGCAATAACATTACATAATCAATACCAATGCAAAAAAATAATACAACTACGAAAAAATCAAATCAATATACAAAATACATACCAATATGAAAAATCCATACATAAAATTTTGTCAAGATGAACAATTCTTCGTCGATCTCTTTGAGAGAGAAAGAGAGTGTGTGTGTGAAGGGGTGGTGTGCGGTGAGGGAAGTGGAGAGAGAGAGGGAAAAGGGGAGGTGGCGATGGGAGGGGGGAGGTAGAGAGAGAGAAGGGTAGGTGGGCGGGGAGCTGGGGAAGGATTGTGGCAGGCGGAGGCCGGTAGGAAGGATGGCAGTAGGGGATGGGGATCATTTGGAAAGGTGGAAGCGACGTCGCCAGAGAAAGAGGGTGATAGTTAGCAGGAATCTGATATAATATATAAAAATTCATATTTTAAATATTGTAATCAAGTGTATCTTTTTTCTTATAACAGTACCCTTAATCTAATCTTTATCGTACATTTAGGGCTTGTTTGGAAGTTGTGATTCTTTAAATTGATGTATTGAGACAATTAGTGTATTATGATTTGATGTATTGAATCAATGATGTATTAGACAAATATCTTGTTTGGAGGTTTAGATTGTGTTTTTGTTCTAAAGATAAAAAAGTTAGTTTTGAGTGATTGTGAAGAATCTCAACAAAAAGTTGAGATTGTAAATCCCTCAATATTGAGTGATTGTGGTGGGGCCTCCGAAAAGTAAATACATGTATTCTAGTTCTATATAAGTCAAAAAAATGACTTAATCTCACAAATACATGAATTAGGTCAATACACCATTTGAAATCACAACTTCCAAACGACCCCAAATAGGCTGGAAAAAAAATGAATGGTGTAGATGTTGGTAGCCGCTGTGATTACTCAAATTTGAGTAACCACGCTAACGCGTTCCATGATACATGTAATCAACTGATCTCATGTCATATATGAGACATGTTTGCTCACATACTCAAAATCTTAAACATGTGATAGAATATAATGAATCTATGAATTATTAACAAGCCAACTCATATGATATATATATCAATTTTCTCATAAGCTGGTAGTCGAGTTGACTCATTAATTATAGGGTTAATATATTTGTATGGCCTGAATTTTGACCAAAATAAACATCCTGACCAATCTTTTCGATCTATAACATCTTGGCCCAAACTATACATCAAAATAACTAAATTGGCCAAACCCGACGTTTGACCGTTAACTTGGACGGTCAAACGTGTTGACTAACGGTCAACGTGTCATATCATCGCCCAGTTATGAAGAAAAATCATTACTCATGGATAACCGTGGATACCCGAAACCCGAACGAGTATGGGCATGGTTTTAATTTTCTACCCGTTTCATATGTGCGTATGGATATGGGTAAAACCCGAACTACTTTGGGTAGGGTAACGGATATGCACTATCTGTCCCCGACCCGACCCATTGCCATCCCTAGTGGGGTATCACAAACACATAATAACTTCACCGACTCATTGACGCAGAACAACATAAAGTCATAAAGACCTTGGGATAAACCGGGATAGCGAAGGGCACTGCGTGCCACCAAATGGGAAGCCCTATTCGCTTCTCGAGGTGTGAACTCCAACCGAATGAAAGGCAAATCACTAACAAGACAATGTACTTCTTGCAGAATCGCACCGCCACGAGCATCCGAAGTAGTACTGTTGAGTAATTGGTGGATCACATGCTGGGCATCACTAGAAATCAAGATTGACCTAGTTGTCCACCCCCCATCGAAGAAGAAGGTAAAGCACTTCCTGGATAGCCAATAATTTCACCAAATACAAGTCCGCAATTGAAGGAATGATGCGGCCGAATGCAAAGATTCGTGTCGAAGCGTCGAATGCTACAATACCAATTGCATCATGAGAATTAGCCTATGTTGCGCCATCCACTACAATGCGGAGTCCGTGAAAAGACAGAGGTTAAATATGCGATGAAACAACCGGCAAAGCTCGAGGGATAGGTGGAAGAGGTTGCAGGGTGGCCGTCTCATGGTCAGTGAAATGGGACAAATACTGACGATTGAGACAATCTAAGGTGAATTGCATGTGGAGGAGAAACACCAAAGAATTACGCCCTTTCCATTACCGCCAACAAAGCAAGACCCATCGAATCAACACATCCTCGTCCGAATACAATAAGAGCTTGCGCCAAAGCAATGCAAAATGATGAGAAGAATCATAGCCATGAGGAAAAGAAAGACCAAGTAGATGCCTAAACCGAACAGCAACAAGACAACGGATAAACAAATGTTCCAGAGACTTCCCTTCCTCCGAACCACAAACAGGGAAAATATCATGAATGAGCAATCTGCGTCGTTTCAAATCCTACCGGACCGGAAGAATACGCAGTAAAATTAGCCAGAGGAAGAATTTCAATTTGGGAAATAAACGTAATCCCCAAATTTGGACCACAGAAAATAGTCCATAAGTGATGCGGTGGCCTCGTCACGACGACATCGAGAAGGATGGTGGGTCAATGTTAACTGGTAAGATGATTTGACTGTAAATTCCTCAGTATAGTGAAAATGCCAAATCCATCTATCAACACAAGGTTGTCGAAAATTAAATTTGTAACATAACGATAAATGTACAAGCTTACTTTATATCATCAAAAGAATTTGTAAGAAAATAAATATGTATATAATGCATTGTATACCGTAAAAAACAATGGTATATTGCAGCCGCGCCCATATTATTACGCTGCTTCTAAATCTACTATAGCCTAGCCGCTGTTACCTTTGCAATTTAAATGAGATCTAGTTGGTAATTAATTGCATGGGCGGTGGATAATTATACCTTGTCTCGACGATTAAAAAAAACAATTATACATTGCAGATCAGTTAAATAAATCTATATAAATGTCAGGAAAACAGTAAATAAATTTGATATAGTTGCTCTTACGACGCGTTTTTTAATCAAACGATGAAGGTAACAACACTTATTCAAAGTCTGAAAGTTCTTCCTGGAATTTTCTCTTATCTATTCAACTATATAATTTCAATTTTCTCTAAGAAAAAATAACATATTTGTTTTCATTTAAGTTTAATATCGTTGTCATTTGCATTTTTCTCATTGACCATACTATACTACCACATTTTGTTTTTTTTATTTATTTATTTCTAACACATCCATTGCCCACATTAATAACTAACTTCTCGCCACGAATGATCACTTGAAAAAAAAAATAATAATAATTGACACGAAATGGAGGAATTTTACAATGCTTTATAGCATTGGTGCTTTAGTTTTTGTTTTTATTGTACAACTTGAAGTTGTACTTTTAAGGTTATGGTACAAGTTTAGGTTGTACCTATACTCTTTTGTAAAATCTTTTTATGGTATAAATTAAAGTTGTACATTTAAGTTATGGTACAACTTGAAGAGATGAAACATAAAGATCAAATTCCCTTATGGTACAACTCTAACTTGTACCTTTAACATTGTGGTACAATTTAAAATTGTACTTTAAAGCACCAATACTTTAAAGCATAGTAGAAGTGCTGAAGTGCTCCACGAAATGAACACATACTCTTATTACATTACCGTATTATATTAACACGCACACTGGAAATATATTTTAAATGAGTAAGATTGAATCCAAACAAAATTTCCACATCCCGTTTAAATTTAAGTGGAAGCAAAGCCACCCTGCATACATTTGCATTTCTAGAAGGCATTAAAATAACTAAGGATGTTGATCTCAAATTAATTTCCATGGATTACTCCAATAATGCTACTTTCTTATGTGCAAGGAAGGAAATTAATTAAGACCATCTTTTGGAGGCTTTTTTCCCGTTGAACATACATTAACTTCGAAGTTGATACATATACATATACTGCTTAAACTGACAATCAATGCTTTAATCACTCATACCTAGCCCCAAACTAGCCAGATGGTTATTGCTGCAAACCCTAACCATGATGGTTATTGCTAGCTACATGGTTTTGGCAGCATGCCAACCATTATCCTAACCATCTACTGACTATGCGAATTCAATGGATTAGATAAAAACAATGGTAAATTAGTGATACCTACATCTAATTACAATGCAATTAAATGCATTTTTTTTAATTCATATTTCTCCAACTCTCTCTATCCCCACAGAAACGTCTCTTATCTCTCTCTCTCTCTCTCTCTCTCTCTCTTTTCAGGAGAGCGTTGTTTTCGTCTATCTTTTTTCTCGGGTAAATGACAAGATGGTCACTGGGATTACTAAAAAAGGTCACGTTTAGTCGCTGAAATATTTAATTCCATTCGTAGTCATTAGATTTAGTAAAAAATGTCATGTTTGGTCACTCTCCATCTAACTCCGTTAACTTTGTCTGATGTGATAGTCAACTCGCATACTTGACCGTTAAATATATGACGCGGCAATTAAAAAATAACAATAAAAAATTCACCTCATTGGTAAGCTAAATAAGCT